GGAACAAAACAGCAGTAGAATCACAGAACCCAAGAATGGACTAACAGTTACCAAAGGGAAAGGGACTGGGGAGGATGGGTGGGAAGGGAGGGATAAGGGTGGGGGAGAAAAAAGGGGGCATTACAATTAGCATGTATAATGTGTGTGGGGGCATGGGGAGGGCTGTGCAACACAGAGAAGACAAGTAGTGATTCTACAGCATCTTACTACACTGATGGATAGTCACTGTAAAGGGGTTTGTGGGGGGGACTTGGTGAAGGGGGGAGCCTAGTAAACATAATGTTCTTCATATAATTGTAGATTAATGATACCAAAGTAAAATTAATAAAAAAATAAATGAAGCAGTTAATACAAAAGTTCATACAAATATATTGAAAGGCTTCCAAAATAAGCTTAAAAAATTGAGAACAAGAAATTTAAAGTACAGAAAGTATGTAAGTGAAATACTAGATTTATTCAAAGAGAAATGGTATTTCCTGGATAAAGCTGTAACACTGTTTTTGATTCTGAGTTTCTGAAAAATGACTATGTAGTTGCCTTTGTCTATACAGAAATAACAGGTACTATTCAGGGCATATACTGCAAAGAAAGAAATGAATAAGCCAATTGCAAAAGCATACAAATCATGACTACTTAAGATAACATGAATATTTAGTGAAAATTTAGCATATAACATCTGACATTTGTCCTGTGGACATACAAGGAAATAATACAGTAGTGCATTTTACCCATTACATTTTACAAATCAGACAAAATGAATTCATAAGCAGTGTTTTTTTTTAATATATTTCAAACAAATATATTACTGTCCTACTCCTTTATTCTGTTTATGTATCTTACTGGCAAAACCTACTGGATTACTGAAATCAGTAAAATCCAGTCCACGATGCTTCAAATGCTTGGATCATAAACATCTTACATATGAAACTCATTTTACTTTCTGCTACAAGCCTGATTTTCAGTTCCTATGAAAATGCTATTCCCTACTACTTGGCCCAGTGAGACTCCTCCTTTGCACAAGGCTAAGTGACAGTACTTTTAAACATACACACAAAGCTCATCAAGCACACCCTTTCCTGCTCCTCTCAGATACAGTCACCAGGGAGCAAGCAGCTCTCCTAGTTCTCCTGTTCCTCATAGTGAGCATGGCCACTGGCATAGGTCCTTCCTAAATTTAGATTTGTAAACAAGTCTGATGACTCGGCATCTGAGTCCTTTCCACCTTCGTCTTCATCCTCTTCATCCTCCTCCTCGTCACGGCAGCTGGCGTCACCATACCTATCAGATGAGAGGCTCTTCCAGTAGGCGTCAGACCCAGAAGCTCCATCTCCCTCTTCACCTCCAGCCTGCCTACCAAATTTCAGGGAGCGTGCTACAAAAGACAGATGTGGACATGGCACTTTATTAGTTCCAATTCCCTACACCTTCATTTTCCTCTATAGTTTATAAAATTACATAACTTGAATGGCTGCTTCTTACTCCCAGATGAAAAAATAAGCCACATTTTCCTAATTTCCTTAAAAGAAAGGAAACCCTAGAAAAAACAATCAGTTCTATCCTATTTGGACTCTACACACAAGCCATATGTAATAACAAATAATAAAGAGGACTGTGTCATTTCATTAACTCTGGGTAAAGATGGAAAACAAAATAACGACAATCGCGCTCTCCAAACATAAGTTAAATAAAGCATGTTAAAAACTAAAATGTCCTTCTTTTGATCAATCACAGAACAGTTGATTTCACATATTTTTACATTTTTCTTCAGAAAGCTTTTTGATATTTTAGGAGTCTCACAAGACAAAGCCTCTCATTTCTTCTACCTCAGCAGCAACATAAAGTTTAGTGCAAAAAAATGAACAAAATCACCAGTCTCACCCCATTGCACAACTGTACCTCTGAGTAAGCAAAATACTTTCACAGTCAGTAGAATTATGGTTCCATTCTGGTATGTTTGGTAAAGAGTGAAATTCTCTTGCTGCATCAGTAAGGATGTCTGCAGTACAGGGAGACCTCGAAGATGCTGCAGGGTCAGTCCCAGACCACCATAAAACCAGCATCACCACAAAGTCAGTATCATGATTTTTTTGGTTCAGTAGTGCATAGAAAAGTTATTTTTTCACACTATACTGTAGTCTATTAAGTGTACAATAGCATTGTCTAAAACACAATGTATGTACCTTAAAACTAAAAAATACTTCATTGCCAAAAAAATACTAACCATCACCTCAGCTTTCAAGCAAATTACAGTAATTGAACACAGATCACAACAAATAATAATAGAAAGTTTGAAATATTGCAAGAATTACAAATAGTGACACAGAGGCATAGAGTGAGCAAATGCTGTTGGGAAAATGGCACTGACACTTTTTAATGTAGGTTACCACAAACCTTCATTTGTTAAAAAAAAAAACAGTATCTAAGAAGAGCAATAAAGCAAAGCACAATAAAATAAGATATGCCTGTGGTCTAATTCCTTCATAGAAAGTTACATAACAAACCATAAAGCAATTTCCTTTAGTAGTGATGTATTATGTAATAAGTGTAGCTGCTCAAATACCACACACCTAAGAATAGCTTCAGCATGAATTCCAATTTCCAAGTGCTGAAGATTACCAGCACTTGAATATTAAGGATGTATAGCTACTCAATTATTTAATAAGGAAGTCTCAGCAAAAACAGAAAAATCACTTTCTGGTCTTAAATTTCAGTACTCCCTATGTCATTAACTGCATCAAATGACAAATATCAAAGTGAATGATGGTATATTTCTTAAGTTAAACTGTAAAATTTTACCCACAAATATTCCAAAGCTGTAAAATTCCATTTGCTTAAGAGAACACATTTGTCTTTTCAAATAGGAAGAAGAGGCAAAAACAAAAATAGAAAGAGAAAAAGATAAATCTTGTCTAAGCAAGAAATCAAAATCACTCGGTTAGTACTTGAAGAAAAGACTTACTTGACATGCTCAGGTCCTTAGTTTCCTGAGTTTCATGTCCACATTTGGGGCAGGGAGGCTGTTTCCCTTTTTCTTGCTTAAACACCTTGCTCCTTGTATGATCATCACAGAAACAAGCCTATATTGGAAAAGTAAAATTAAGCAAGTACATAAATCAAAAAATCAAAAAATATATAAAGATACCATTCACTATATCAAGGAAATTTAAAGAGTTTTGTTAGGGCAAAAATTAAGAGTTTCATTGAGACTGGTCACACTTCTGATTTAAATTTCTTAAGGGAAATGACCTTCTGCAGGACTCTTCTGAACTATGCCCTAACACAAGGCATTTCAAAAACCATACACAGGACATGACAAGTAGATACATTTATTCATTCATAAATATATGAATTCACAAAGCCACTGATGACATAATGGTGACTAGCCTATCTACCCTCACATAGTATAAATCTAACTGGGGACACAGACAAGTGGGGAGGCAATTACAAGACAGCATTCATTGAAAGGGAAGTGTAGAGGAGGGGTACTAAAACAGATATTGGATTCAGGAAACATTTCTGGGGAAGCGGATGTCTTAGCTAAGATCTGACAGAGAATGTGAGGTACATGAGGATAAGTAAGATGAAAGAGGGATAGAGAGCAGAGAGAACAGCAGAGAAGACGGCTAAAAGCCATTTGGTAAAATTGGTGCAGAGTTGAGAGAGAAATAGAGATGGGGTTAGGAAGATTAATAACCAGATAAATGTTTCTGAGAGGGAGTGAATCAGCTATATTTGTTTAGTGATCTACGAGAAACAGAAATGCTAGAGACAAGGGCTAAGGAAATAGAACATGGAAATTTCACTTTACTTATACTCTCCCAAGCAAGTGCATTTTAACTTTAATTAAATAATACTTTCATCCTTTTGGTCAGAATATCCTCCAAAAGTGTAAGGTATAAAAACACTGAGCTAAGATTAGGAGAAGTGTGCACTAGAGTTATCTCTAACACAAGCGAACTGGAGGACTTTGGAAAGTCACTAAGCTTACTCAATTTAACCTCACAATCTCTATGATCAAAGAATTAAATGACATAAGGTTTATATGTATGTAGATTATTACAGCTATAAACCAAGGACTGGTGGAAGAGCATACAGGGATTAAAAACAAATCTAAAAAAAAAACACAACTATACCTTACAACGGAGACAGGAATGCTGGCCAAGCCGATTGCATGAAACACCTATGGGGGAAAAAATACAGGATGTCCAGATTCAGACTTGGAATGAAAACGCTGTTTTCCATAGATCTGTACTTGATTAGTTATTAACAGTTTTTTCCTATCTCATCACATGATCTAGAGGATATGTAAAAATGAGGTGGAATCCCAGCCAGAAGGAAGAAAACCAATAACTGTACACACCCAGCATTCCTACACTTTTATGGTTCTAATCATTCTCCAATCTCCTATTTCTCCAGATCTAGAAGATGGCAAACTTCATGAATTATGTCAGAAAACAGAAATGGTCAACATCATTCTCCCCATGACACTGGCTGAAGCTCTTCTTTTATCATATGGCAATTAAATTTTAAAAGGAGTTAACTGTTTCTATTAATAAATATTCTCTTCTGGTGGCACTATTGCCATTTTTTGTGTAACTTCTGAAAAGAGAATAGAATACTTTAGGTAGAAAAGGGTGACTATGAAGAGAAAACAATGTTAAGTGGACAGTAAAATAGAAAAAAACTGCAAAAGTTTTATCTCTATTTTAGTCAATATGCCATATTAATGGTCATTATCTATAATTAATAAGGGAAAACCTAAACTTAAGTGCAAATACATTTGGAAAAGTGAGTATGTCTGGCACATGCTGAAATGTGACAGAATATGAAAGAAAACAGTAAATAACAGAGGTAGGGAAAGAAAGTAAACTAAACTTTTCCCCAATAAAGTCTGAATATAAACCACCAACTTTCAATTCATTTAGAGGTCTTGAAAAACTAAAAAGGAAACAAATAAAAGCAAGCTTATCTTTAATTCAAATATTTGACCAGATATTCTTAATATGAGGATTCTTTTATTTAGGTTTGCCTAGTTCATGCGGAGCCATTCCAGTCTGAACAGGCACATATTTTTTTTTTTAACTCAGAAATGATGTTCTCAACTATGTGTATTATTATTGCTTGGGTCTAACTACCTTGCTGTCTTCCACAGTAGTGCCAATAATTCAGTTAGCATCTATTACTTGCCCTACATGCTAGTAATAAAAGTTAAAATCAACTGAGTACTTGCTATTATATTCAGCATATTTAAGTATACCAAATTACTCCAATAGTAACTATATTATTTTAGTCTATGGGGAAAGAATCTGAAATCTTAAACATTTCCACTTGAAGATATGCCCAGAGTTTGATTCACTCTTCAGTCAAAAAAAGGCATATTTAATGAAAATGCTATAAATCTCTTTCCAATACACAGCCAGAAAACTTACTGAAAGTACAATGCTCCCAACCTAATTTCCCAGGGCACACCAGGCATTTCTGATACAGAATCTTTTCCTGTTCCTACCAGTTAAATCACTGCCAGGCCACAATGACACTATTCCAAGAAATTAGTTGTTGCCGATGTCACCCTCTTTACCACAGGGAACACAAACCAGGACGGATTATGGCACTGCCAGTCTTCTCTCTCCAGGGACCTCAACCCCACATATATATATATACTCTCAGTTCACCACCCAGAAAGTTCTCTCCCCAAGAATTAAAATAAAGAACTCATTGCCCCCAGATTCTAAAATTAGTTTCACTTTCCTAGTTTTAAATAGAGGAATGGTTTTCTTTTTCAGTCTATTTATGTATTCAGAGTATTTTGAAAGAAAGTAGGTTGGGATGGTCAAAGCCTTCTGACATTTTAAATTAGGAGTCTCCAGGCCATTTTAATTACAGCTGATCCTTGAACAACACAGGTCTGAACTGCATGGGTCCACTTATACATGGAGTTTTTTCAATAAATATATTGGAAAATATTTTGGAGATTTGCAACAGTTTGAAAAAACAGAACAGCATGGACTAGAAATACCAAAAAAATTAAGAAAAAGTTAGGTATGTCACGAATGCAGTAAACACAAATGTTAAGTCTATTTTATCAATTACTCTAATAAAATCAACAGTGGTTAAGTTTGAGGGAGCCAAAAATTATATGCAGATTTTCAACTGTGTGGGAGGTCAACACCCCTAATCCCCACATTGTGCTAGGTCCCATCATATTTTTAAAAAAAATATGAGCAGGGTTAAACACATGTGGGTTTCTTTTTTCTCTTAAAACATCTTTTCCACATAATCATTGGTAAATAATTACAGGCAAATATCTTAATATACATAAATTGTAGATATATTTGCATATATGCAAATATAGATATTGTGAATAAGTATTTTAAAAAATTTCTAAATTCTCCATTTATAGTTGTAAGGTCAAATCAATAAAAGATGAGATATGACCCATTAAGTGGGTGAAACAAACTCTACATTTGTGGCTTTTGTGTATGATTAGGAGAGTATTTCAGAGAACACATTTCCAGCACTGAATGGCAACTGGCAAAGGAAGAATGGAAAAAAAAAAAGTGTTTACATTTTTACAAAATAATAATAAAAAAGTTTACTTTTTTATAAAATATAAATTTCAGTAAGCCAAAGAAACCTGTGACTCTGCCAAGAGAGTGACTTTAATATCAGGTTTATCTGAAAATCCTGCCAATTATTTAGTTTGTGTATTTTTCCTCTGTCTTTTAATGAATCACTTAAACTTCTTGATGGTTTACAACCTTACTACTCATAGTTTCCTCTCTTTGGGGTCAGGTACACAAAGCTCCCAAGTCCCAAATAAAATAACTCAATTTTTATATTATACTTTCTGCAAAAGCCTAAGAATGGCTCAAAAATTCTATATACTTTGAGATTTTTTTAATATTTGAGAATTTATATATAAATATTAAAAGAAATACATGCATATAGATAGGTAGATAGATCAATCTTAGATTGGTGATTTATCAACTTTCAATTTATAGATGTATATAGGGATTAACATTTCATACCAGAACAAGAACTGAATTCAAGTGAGTATCTGGGGAATTTCAGTCTTTCTGATGATGCCATGTTCTATTCAATAAGGGCTTTCAAGTTCTAGGTAACATACTAATGCTTTATACGGATTTTCATTTCAATTAATAACTCTTTGAAAAAGAAATTAGTATCTTCCTTTAATAGGTAACAAAACTCAAGCTTAGAAAAATTTGGGGATTTTCCCAAAATCCTGTAAGTAGATAAGCCAGTAAGTAAAATACAAGCAATGTTTGCTTCCAAAACTTGGGATTTTGACAAATCAATAGAGAAGAATAAAATGCAGTCTATCTGTGAAGATGACACCACCAACCTAGTCAGTGACACTGGTTCTCAAGCTGGAAAATACATGACAATTATGTGTGTAGCCACTAAAGACAGACTCTCCAGGGATGAGGCCTGAGCACTTGTAGTTTGTAAAAACCTCCCCAGTTCTTTCTGATCCACACTCCTATGAATCACTGGAACCAGCTAGCAAGAATAAACTAGGGGTGGTGTCATCTGGGGTCATTGGGAAATGTGTGTGTGTTTTGACCGGAGGCAGATGGTTGTTATAATAACTTGGACATATAATGAAATTTAGTACTCAGGGCCAGGAATGCTACAAGTCCTATAATGCATAATCAATCACACAAAATGAGTAAGTAACTGATCCAATGAAAAGGCTACTGATAACCCTGTTTAAAAAAATGGATTATGTTTTCTGAATTTTTTTCCAGAAACAGAAAATATTGAATTGAATTAAATTACAGTCCCTATGAGGCTACATGAAAAGCTAGATACCTTTTTCAGTAAAAGTTTAACACTTATACTATTAAGATACTATTGGGTAGAAATAATTTAATATACAAAAACTTACATTTAAATGTTTCCGCCTCTAAAACCTGGCAGCTGGCTTGATGTTCAAATTGATCATCTTCACAGAGAAAGTTATGGCAAAAAGAACAACTGAATATTCTGCCTCCTGTTAAATTACAAAATAAAACCCACAAACGTAAATATGATAAACTTCAATTTAAAAAGCTGCTATCTGTAAATCTGCTCAGAAAAGATGCCAAGTTATTTCAGATTTACACCAAAATGGCAGTTTTTGTTCTGGTAAAGGCTACAATGAAAAGTGCCAAATTGAATCATAAAAAGCAGACTCCCACTACCCCCTGGCTATTCATATAATAAATGCTCAGAGGCAGCTGCTTTCCTATAACTCTCCTCCCTACCTGCTTAGGTAGCCAATCCTGGCATTGACTATTACTGTTTGTATAAATCCCTTTTGCAGCTAAACTGATAACCAAACAGTGCAGAAGTTAAAACTGACAGTATCCTGGAAAAAAAAAATCTTAAAAAGAGCATCCCGAATATTCAAAGTCAGCTTTTACTTACAACAAGGTTGAGTGGCATATAATCACTCACCATGGTCCCAGACACCTCGTTCACATTCCACACATTCGGCATCAGTAAGAGGGCAGGCACAGGCATGTGTACTGAGACATTTCCTACCATGGCAAACCCAAGCTTCACAGAAGTCACATATTGCACCCTGCAACCAGGGAAATTAATAAAAATTAATCTTTGTCACCTGACTGGCTGCAACCACTGTTTAACCAATGGCAACCATCAAAATTGCACACATTTACCAATTTATCAACTCTCAGTAATAGCGAGTGGCTTCACTCGAGGAAAACTTCTACTATTTAAGCCAAAATTAAAGTGGGTTCTCTGAAAATCAAACTACTTTACCAAGAGCTATTTGAATATACAATACTTAGACAAAATTCAAAAGAAAATGAAGGGGGAAACTATATATTTACCCTGATATAAACCATTAAAGTAAGTGAAAGAGTTCAAAGTAGAGTCTACAATTAAAGCATTCTTTTCTATAGCAATTCTGGCAACTTATTTTTTTCAAATACTGATACATTTGACTTAAGAAAATCCCTTATCTGTGTAATTTATAAAATAATCACATGGCTTTTCTAAAATAACTGAGAGAAAATATTAAACTTCTGCCACCATCTTTTTTCTTTTAAGGCAATTTATGAGTTAAATAATTACTACATTTCCTTGTGGAAAAAAATTAAAGTAAAATATAAGACCTAAACAAGAGGATAAGACTCTCCAGTTCTACAAAAACATAAGATGGTAAGACTATACATTTCAGCAACACAGCGACATCCACAGAATAATAACAGCTATAAAGAATCTTAAGGAAATGGGACTGGATGGGCTCTCCTTTAGAGATGAGAAACAGGGACTTAAGATTTTAGTCCAAATCCCAAAGGTATATTCCCGAGGAGCTTAGATTTTAAATCCAGGTCTTCCAAAGCTCAATTCAGTGTTCTACTTTTATTCAAGGCTCTGTAACAGAAGTGGTAAACAGAAAACAGGAAGAATGTTTTCCACTTGTAAGGGCGGATTATCAATGTAGCTAATCCTCAACATCTCTTGGAACACTCAGGGGTCTAGCAACAAAGGACAGCACATTAAACTGGGTGATCCAGGAGAGTTTAAGAAAAGTAATTTACAAATGACAAGAAAGGACTTAGAAAAAACACCAAAAGATGACACAGTTACAATCCCTGGGTCTGAAACAAGGGGGTGAGGAGTTAAGTTACCAGAGCCCTAAAGAGCTGTACTGGAGAGGATTACCCATCCCTTTGGGAAGAAGTGTTGCCAATTTAAATCTAAAATTGAGTGAACAATTCAGTATCTGCCTCCTACTGGATGAAAAAACAAAACCCACAAATGTAAATTTGATAAACTTTAATCTAAAAAAGTCCTATCTATAAAACTGCTCAGAAAAGATGGCAAGTTATTTCAGATTTACACCAAAATGGCACAGTTTTTGTTCTGGTTAAAAGCCACAATGAAAACTTTAAACAAGCTATGAAACATGAATTGGCCAAAATTCCTCTCCAAACCCGGACAACCCAGTAGGGAGTGAACTGGGAAATAAACACCCAGATCATATTCTCCTCCCATTTTCAGGTCTCCTGCCAGTCTTCCACTGGCTGAACCCAAAGAAAAGCCACAAGGTAAGAAAGTTACTGATCCAGTCCATACACACAGGTCAGGTTCCCAAGGCAAAGCAGGGTATAAGAGAGTAAAGGGAAACGGAATCTTTAGACAGATTAAATTTCAGAATCAATTTTCTAGAATTTGTAACTAAAGATACATGATTCTATTTAAATGTTTATATAAGAGATCATTCACACTCATATAACTCAGTGAATTAAAGCAAAAAGTTTAATGAATTTAGACATAAGCTCAAGTACAATGTTTGAATAAAGACAACATTCACAATGGTTTATTTAAAATAAAGAGGAATTCACAAAATGATAATGAATAATTCTAGCTCCTTGCTTCTATTAGATATGCATACATGAAATATATAAAGGTTTGCCACATAACAGAAAATTACATGTTCTTGGAAAATTACTATAAATAAAATATTCTGCTTGATGTAAAAAAAAAATTACTTTTTTCATGAATTGAAATTTGGACTTGAGCATTAACCACAAATAGAATACAATAAAACTAGTTAAAAGGATAATATTTGTAATGAAAAATAGAGGATAATGCATCATACGATAAAACTGTTTTTATTATTTAAAACAATGAATTTCTGTAGAGAATTCTACATGTAATAAAGAAATTATATATAATTCTGTGTTCAATATTCTTTTTCTTTTTGAAATGTAAAGCTTTAAAAAAACTATTAATGCTAGGTAATTCTGCAGTGAAGTCGCTTATTTTTCCAAAAGCTTGAACATTGGTTAAACAGGGCTCTCAGTATAATAAATAATATTCTATGAAGTCTAATTAATACACATTAGAAAGATAACACTGGCAAATGAATTTTTGCCTTAGTCAACATTAAATAAGTTTTCACTCCTTATGTTTACCAATAAGAAAAAAGAAAGCAAAAACAAGTGGGTAGTAATGGAAAATCATACATAGAATATGACACAGATAATGCAGGTAACTGCAGACTGAACCAAGGGATAAAGCACTGCTATTTAGGAAAAAATAGCCATTGATTAGAATGACTTTCTGTTATCCATGGACCCCATTTGTCTAAGAGATGACAAAAAACTTACCACCATTGCAAGGCCAGTACTATAGACACCAGCATGCTTTATGACACAGTCTGAAGATTTCATCATGCATTTTGTTTTCCCTAGTAAGGAAACAAATTGCACTATTAGTGTTACTAAGTAGTACATGCAAGTAGTCACCAATTCCTCTTTTTACCCAGCCTAAGTTCCTATGGAAATAGTATGAATGTAAAAGGATAGAAACTAGCATTGTTTACTGCTTACATAATTAAAAAGAGAATATGCCTATAACTGAGATCTAACTTAAATCAGATCTTCTGAGATTAGAAATTTAATAATCTTAAAAATGGATTGCACAGTAAGGTTATATATTAATTCATGCTTGTACTAAAATCAGAAATTTTAAGTTATGCTTTGTAAAATAATGATCATTATAGCAGTTTAAAATCCTGTAAATTTTCAGATGAATTAAAACAGATTTTAAAATACTCTGCTTTAAAACGAATTTTACATTTATAATTCACAATAAAGTCTGGTTTAAAGTTATTACTTATTTTTTCACAGAACATTCCAAATGAAACCAAATAATGATTATGCAACTTATTTGGTTCATTTTTTAAGTTAATCCATATGTGAAAATTTAGCCTCCAAAATAGCCCTAAAAATATCCCACAAGTAAACATTCTTCCAATAACATTTTCAAATACTGATCAAGTGAGCATAAAAAACAGGAATACAGTGAAAGAGCTAAAAATCACAATATATAGCCACAAAAGCTTTGATCTAACAGCAAATTATCAACCCAAAACACTGTCAGGAAATTCACTTATCATATACTATGTGAAGATTAATGGTGATATATTAATCACCCATCTCAGACTCCACAAAGCAAAACACAAAAGCAGAAGACACTCAATTTTCCATTATCTTGATTACCTGAGGAATAAAAGCTGGACAACAGGAAATGGGAAGAAAGAGAAACTGGAAATGACAGGCAGCAGCTACCCAAATATTCCATGTCTAACACTTAAGTACAAGAATCAATCAGTAAGTGGGAAATGATTGTTCTATAGCAGTATAAAACTCAAGCCCCAGAGCACTCAAAATATGAGATGGTTCTAGCACGAATTTAATCTTCTCCGTAATCTATTTTTTCACTTTATATTCATCTTTTGTAAAATAAGGACATAAAACTGGCCCATCACTTAGGCCAGCATTCTCCTTTTCATTAATTATAAACCTCAAAGACATCTTCTTTGAAAGCTACAACTACACTAGAAATATTCAGGGATGTAACCCTAAACATGCCTAACTTTCTACAATATATCATATATAAACACATTTAAATAAGCATATTCCAAACTCTGTTCAACCTGAAACTATATCCCACAACCAAAGGGGATATTTATTCAAATAAAGTTTGGGGAATAAATCTGGAGTGAATAAAATTTATCAGGTTTCTTTACTAGAGGTCTTCAAAACCTTTAACATATAAACATGTAACAAAAATCTCCCAGATGGGAGGCGATGGAAAGGAGAGGATGAAACACTCAGCATTTATCAAATGTATACATTGTTTTAAGAAGTATCTACTAACATGTCAAGTAGACTGTGGAAGACTATTTGTGAAACACCAATCTTGCTCTAGGAACTAACATTTGATTTTACTCTGAAAGTTTCCATTTACACTTGGGAACTGAGTACTTAGCAACTCTATTTCAATCACCTGGGAATACATGCATGGAAATTCAGGAATCATATGCTAACTGCCAAAATAAAAAACAACTGATCCCAAAAATTGGCACTAGGTAAATGTGGAATAAAATTATTTTCAATAGTCTAACATACTGCAGGTAGTATCAGCAGGAATCAAAATTTATTAAAGTAAATGGATATTACAAGACTAAAGTAGTATAATTAAAAATTCAGAATCGCTAAATATTATTAGTCTGAAATCTGATCTTTAAATGCTTAAAACAGCATTTTGGCATCTAGGCTAACTGTATCTTAATTATTTTTCAGTTATATCAAAGAGACAAAATCAAGACTTGGTAGTGTTTTAGTAGAGCAAAATACCATTTCATGTTTATTTTATTGAAGGTAAGGAATATTATTACAAACAAAAATAAACCCAATTTCAAACTGATGAACTGCCAAACAAATGTTTATTAAAAGAAAAGGTATGTGTCTTTAGTTATCATATACTTACCACACTGTGCACAAATTGGTAACTTCTGTACAGAATTACAAAAATAGCAAAATGCTCTATTCTTCTGCCGTCTTGTCATGTAAAATAAAAATTTTAAATATAGTCAATATCAGATAAAAGGTCAGATTTTATGTTATTAAATACAGATAAATAAAAATTTACCTCTGACACTTGTCACATTCCTGTAAAATATAAAAACATAACATTAATTTTCTGACTGAAAATTACAAATTTACTTGCATTTTAAAGAATACCTTGTTTTTCATACTGAAACTTAAGTGACATTTCCCTAAACCCTCCAACTTCACCCACGTACACAGCCATCTATACATACCACACTAGAAAAAGAAGTGGCATTTTCATAAAACAGGCTAAACACAGTGGTGGTTTGTTCTTTGGATTTTTTTTAAGGAATCAGACCAAGTAATACAGAACAGACATATGAAACAGTAGAGACACTCATATGAAGCTCAAAGAAAACCCAGAAACCTAAACATGACATTAAAAGTTCTCAACAATCTGGTTGCTAAAACAACTTTCAAACCTTGCTGACCTATTTTTAGATTCAAGTCATTATTTGTCAGCCATTGTAGAACTGTCTTGAACTCCCTTTTCAAATGCCTTACTTTATCTAATACTTTTCTCTGAAAAATCCCTCCTCACAATCTTTACCTGTTCAAAGTTATGGTGATGATCCCACCGCCGCTGTGAACTGGACACCATCCACACACTCAACTTCACCACCTCTCAATCCTAACGTACTTTATGATTAACTGTACCTTTATGGCAACACTAAATTACTAATGTCTGGCCTTCGTTATATGTATTTATGCTGTCCACACAGTCAACTTCACCACCTCTCAATCCTAATGTACTTTAGGATTAACTGTACCTTTATGGCAACACTACTAAAGTCTGGCCTTCGTTATATATATTTATGTATGTGAGTCATTTCTTGTTATGTCTGTCCCGTATCACTCTTCTCTAGAAATGACCCTGTCCCATCTGTACTATGTAATCCGCTCTTTCCCAACCCCAGTCCCAGCCATAAACGTCAGTCCTGGGATGGGCACCCACCCAAGTCTGAACTGAGTTCTTACTCTTTCTGAGGGCAACATTTCGTGAGCTACCAGTGTCCATGAACCCAATCAACTGGATCATGAGGCCTAAGAAAATGGAAACAAAAGCCAAAGATGCAACTACAAGACTTCCAGGTTCCAGCTGTCATCATGCCCTAGCTACACACTTACCCTTCTCAGCTACACAGTAGTCCATTATTCATTCAGCAAATTCTATTTCTCCCTGAAGTTATATAAGCTGGACATATCATTTATAAACAAACAAGTTTTAAATAATACACAAAATAACTGATCTATAAACTTGTGGCAGAGGACTGTGTCACTCATCTATGTATCCTCCAGAGTGCCTAAAATAGAACCTGGCACAGAGTAGATGCACAATAAACATGTGTGGAATTAAGTCATAGCATTTCCTATGAAACAAAAGAAGAAAAAATAGTAGTGGGAATAGAAAAAGAAAAAGGAGTGGAAATGGGGAATACTAGGAAGTTTAGAAAGAGAAATCAAATGAATTAAAATTGCTGTGACAAAGTGAGGAGAAGCCTCTAATAGGACAAACTGAATTCAGGCATAAAAAACGCTAGACAAGCTGGAAAACATCACAGTCCCTAATACGTAAGAATACATATCACCAACAGTAGTCAAGGTAATACACTAGGTTTTATAAATAACAAAATCAAACAAGAATCACTGCTATTCAGTGTAGCAATGAAATGATGAAACATGCCTCTATCCCACATTTCTAATTCAATAAAATATATGCAGCAACACTGTATTCACCAAAATTTTATTCAGGTGTTTCTCAGGTAACTATTAGATAGTTTTTCACCTATTAACTGATATAAGAAAAGCTGTTACCATTGAAGCATTGCACGGATGTTTAGCTAAATCTATGGTGCTTCTTGATGCTCTTAGCTGTTTTTCACGTTCCCGACGGTTCTCTGCCTTCTTCCTTGCACCAGTCTTTTTTTTAGGCATTTTCCCTCTCTTTCTAGGCAAAAGAATAGAGAAGATAAAATTGACTAGCTGCATTTGTTACTTTAAACAAACTAAGAAACAGCAGAATGAAGGGTTCTTATTCTCATTAAAATAAACTCAGCTGTGTCATTTTGATGGTTAAGCACATTTTAAGCCTTTATGAAACATTAAGCACACATTATTTCAAATAAAATAGATGGCTTTTAAAGTAAGGCACTTATTTGCACTACCAATCCTAAAACATGTAAATATAAAAAAAAAAAATCATTTTCCCAAAAGCCAAAATTGTTTTCTTCTCTAGGAAAAAAATTTCTCTGATGTTAAGAACTCGTTAAAAAAAATTATTAGGCATATAGAATTAATGAGAAATCATTTAAAATATAAATATTATTTATTTATCCAGTTTCATATCACTTTTTGAGCAACATATTCAGATGATCTGATGCTGCTAAGACTTGAAGTTTACCAATAAGAAAAAAGACATTACATTTTACAAATTACATGTACAAATTACATTAACTACAAAGCCAATTTATTGATAAGATATTAAAGGTATTACAGTTGTTTGGACTCCAAAAGCTGCCTTTCTGTCTAAATGCATTAAGCACAAAGAGTTCAAATTTATGTTTAAAATATATATTTACCACATACATCAAATAAGGACTTTAAAACCGGCTCTCATCATAGTTAGAACTACAACCTTAAAAAAAAAAACCAGGATTTTTACTAAATAACACATCTTTATTTGGATTTTCATCCAATCAGAAGGATTCTAACCCTATCTTTCTCGACAATGTTTGCCTCCCAGCACTGCCAGGCATATATTAAACAATAAATCGAGGGACACAGGAATGAACGAATCTATGTATTTGCTGTGAAATATATCAAATTTCTTAATAATCTTCAAAAGACATATTTTTAAAGTCTTTTCCAAGAGTGATTCTCCGGATCAACTGTAGAAACCCCGAAAAATACAGACTTAGACTTCAAGGATCTACTCAAGAATTACAAATTCTAAGCCTCCTGGAACAGGATAAAATTTCACTGCGACTGTGACACACAACCTCCTTGATATCAACATTCTTACTGAAAAAAAAAACTGAAGTCTGTCCAGAATACACGAAGAGAATTTCAAGAAGGCACACCTTCAGGAAATTTCTATTTCACATTCAAAAGGGCAAGTTACAATACAGCAAAATCACTAATCAGCTTAGACTGGAAGCAATACCAAGGTCACTCATCAAGTTCACTCATCGTATTTTCCTACTTTGGTTTCCAACTCTGTTAGAGCGTTTAATCAAAACCCAAGTATGTGGTGGGAAGTGGTGACTTAAAAATACGGGCAAATCAGGGTGGGAGGTGGTACCTCAGTAAGGGCCAAGCCCCACTAGGTCCCCTTAACGGTATTCAAACTGTCAAATCTATTTTTTTTTTAAATGTACTGCCCGGGTCAAAGCAGCTCAGAAAATAATCACCGGGTGATTATCCTTATGAGTTTTCTGCGGCCACAGGAGTGAACCCATTGGTAAAGTGGAGCCTCAACTTTGTCCATTTTGTTTTGGAAACTTAAAGTGAATTATTTTCCTCAGCCTGGCACGGGTTTAAGCTCTCCTCCAGCACCGCTCCGACTTCCTTAGGAAGCGGCCAGTGAGTCCCGAGGCCCTGGAGCACAAGCCGCAACTGGAGGACCCAGCGGGGCGAAGGGAGGCGTCCGGGGGATCCTCTAGAGGTGCCGCGCGGCTTCGGGAACCTGCAACCGTCACCCGCCCGTGGGACGCCCGCCCTCGCGTGCGCTCCATCCGACCTCGCTCACCCTCGAGGGGAGGCCGGGCTCACTCAGGGGCGGAGATGCAGGGAACAGCCCGAGGGCGGCCCGCGCCAGCAGTAAGGCCTACTCGCCCACCGCGACACCAGGAAGAGGACACTAACACCGAGGACAGCGGATGGAAACCAGCCGGGACGCTGGGAGCCGGACCGGACGTCCTCTGACATCACGGCGTCCTTACGGCAGCGCGTCCCAGTGAAGGGCCCGCCCACTCCGCTCGCTCGCTCGCCCGCTCGCCCGGCCCCGCTCACTCCTGCGGGACCGAAGCTCCCGGTCCGGGACGGGAGGGGGTGCTGACCGGAAGGAGGCTCCAGAGAGGAGAAAGGAGTAAGAGGACGGGAAGCCCTCTCAATTTTATTTTTTCAGAAAAGAAGCAATCTAAAGAAAGAGGGTTTGAACGCACAAACTTGGTACTGGATCAGTTGACCCAAACATAAAATTCTTGCCTAATTCTTTTGGAAACTTTACACTACCTGCATCTGTTGTTCCTCACGCCTCACGTTTCCTGTTTGCTGCGCAAGCTGAGCCTTCAGTCGCCAGGGGAAGTTGTGCGGTGCCCTCCTTTGTCTCATCTTTCCACTGTGCTCCCTGGAATGCCATTCTTTTGTGAACAAATTCCCCAACATTCTGGGCCTCTAGTGTGCGCTCTCCCCGTCCTTAACTGACACCTAACATGCTCTCCCTGGCTCAGACTGCTTGGTCCAGACCTCTCTGCAGTGACGGGCGCTCATTTTCCCACGCTGCTTTCATCTCTTCTAGGAGGTGGTGTCAGTCTCCTTGCTGTCCAGTAGCCCACTCAGGTCAGTGTTCCTCTTCTCTCTGTAGCCACACCACCTTTTATCCTTTTTCGTTTCTATTCTTTACCCACTCCTTAATGATGGAAAATCTTGGATTTTGAGGTCCAGCCTCTGCCATCACCCAGAGTCACATTAACATCCAAATGGAAGACCCATTCTGTCATATTCTTGATTTCTTCATCTAATATAGCCGTCGCCTCCACTCCATTACAGACACCCACTGTCACGACCACAGTCCATCCAAGCCTCCACCACAGAAATCCAAATTTCAAACAGACTATCCAACCTCCTATCTTACCAGCTCTCTCGCTCAATTTTCCCTCTAATACAGATTTCAAATCTCTTAACCCTACTATTGTCTCCTTATCAGTCACCTCTCCTCCTTCTCCCCCTCCCCCTCCCTCAATTTATAAAGTTCATTAGGTTAGTCACAAATTGTCTAATTTTCTTTCTTATCAAACCAACTGGAACATTGCCAATTCTGTTAACAGCTGGCCTTTTCTTTCCTACACTGGACTTCTGAGTGTTGTTAAAGAAAAAACAAAATTACACAATCATGATTTTAGTCTAAATCCAGAGTTACCAACCTCCATGAGGCTCTCTCTCAGAAGTGCCCTTCATTCCTCCTATATCTTCCTAATCAGATCTATCATTCCCATTGTCCACATGGCTTTATGAAATCTCCTCTTAACTCAACCTTCCATCAGTTTCAGCATAGAATTGCTTCCTAATTTCACAGAGATAATTTAAAAAATCAATAATGACTATTTATCATTTTGTGCTCCTGACATTCTAATTACTTTAGATGTGTAGTATGAACTAATTTTACTGAGGAAACTAGGCAGAGAGACTGTGCAACATTCCCCAAGAATACACGGATGGTTTGGCTTGTGAGACTGTCTGTTGTAACAGTTCTTAAACTCTTTGGTCTCATGACCCCTTAAAAACTCTTAAAAATTGAAGATTCTAACCATCTTTAGCTTATATGGGTTTTATGTATTGATATTTACCATATGAATAGTAAAATAAAATTTAAATACTTATTAATTCATAAAAAATAATACTCATACATCTATTACTTGTTAGTATACATAGCATAAGTATATAAAAATAGCTATATTTTCCCAAATGACAAACTTAACAAGTGTGGTACTGTTTTAGAGTTTTTCAAATCTCCTTAATGTAAAGCTTAATAGAAAGCAGGTAATTTCTGTATCTGCCATTCCACTGAGAAATGTTTTGATATTCTCATTTTCCCAGCACATACTCAGTCATGGAAATTGCAAAGAACCCTCTGGGGAAGAGCCGAGAGAATTATTACAGTGTGCACCTTTTGTGACATCTCAGGCCCTTCCTCCTGTGGGTCTGACCTTTCCTCTGATGTTGGTTTCCAGACCTAAAC